GCGACTTCGTAAAAATAAAGAGGTGGGGAGGACCAAAAGGACAGCAGAGGTTTTCTTTGCCAATAGAAGTAAAAAAACGCGTGGGAAAAAATTCCTTCCTTTTAGACAATGGGAAGAAATGGAACGCTGCCAAATTGACAGTAGTGGCCAAAGGAGGAGCACCAGGTGCCCGGAACTTGGTAGAAAAAGTTATGGAACGACGTGGAGCGGTAAGAGACCAGTTATGCGACCTGGAATTGCCCACTGAAGAAGGGGCATCACAAGTACCATCACCACGGGACGTCGCAACTGCCAGAACCCCAGAGACATTATCGCCAGGTGACGACAGCGCTACCGTCGCTACGCACGGAGCGGAAGCTGCACGGGGTGCTGAGACACTTCCAGACGCTACACTTCAGGAGACTGAAATCTTGTCGACACCAGCAGAGTCGGCGCCAGCTCCAGAGCAAGTCGAAGCGCAGGACATCCCCGGCCAACAGGAGTTGTTGACCACGGCACCGTCGTACAGCAGGCCTCAGCGACAAAGAAGAATGCCCGGAAAATACAATGATTATGTTTTACACTAGAATTATCTGTTATAGTGGTTACAGAGCTATGTGAATAACTGTAATTATTGGTGAAAGTTGTGTTCTAGTTACTGGGGTTTTGTTTGTTTAAAGGGGGGAAATATGTTGTGTATAGAGGGCGCTGAACTCATGCATTACCAATTGTATATAAGAGCATCACCATCGGCATAAAGATGAGTCGGCGTCCAGTGCCTGCCTCGTGTCAGTTCTTGTTCTGCGGCCTTCCGGCTGCGTTCGCCGGTCTACACCACAAAGCTGCTGAAAGTTCACTGGGAACAATTGTAAAGAAGGCAAAAAGCAAAGTGGAGCTAACAATGCAGAGAGCAAGCAAGGAGACCACTACCGTTGCAGACGACGCGACCGGCAGCGACTGAATAAAACAGAGAGGACGCGCGCTGTGGCCAATAGTAGCCGCGTGCTCCCCCGCCCGCTTCAGGAGCAAGCGCTTTGTCTAATCACGACTGTGCAATTGCAACATGGCAAAACGCCGACCACGCAGAAACCACGAGGCTGACGCCATTTTGAAAATCGGGAGAAAGAAAAAAAAAAGACAAAAATGGCAGCCGCTGGCCAAAAAAAACGGGAGCGCCAATAGTGCAAAATTTCGGTTTATTTTGGCACTTGACTGCCACTTGAAAGCTACCCCAGGCCGCGTAAATGTTTTATTTTTAATATTTTCCGGACGATTTTAGTGGTGATAATTACAGAGAAGGTAGATTAGAAGATATACAACCCAAAAATATGGTTTTCATAGAATCAACTTTTTCGTGATTTTTCAGTTTTCAAGGCCCGCGTCCCTCCTTAAATGTGGGATCAGAATTAACTAAGTGCTGGCTCTACATTTGCTGGCTTGTGGCCGAGTATTGGTAGAGGGTTGGCTAATGGCTGACTAAGTAATGGATATGGGCTGGCTAATCGAAGGCGTGCGTAATATGTGCCGGATAAATGTTGGCTAAGTATTGACTAACCATTGGCTAAGCATTCTGTGCTGGCTGTAAGCAAGCACCTGTCGGGTGCTTGCTTTGTTAGCTCGCAAAGATTCTTGTATCCTATATAAATCATCATTAGCTTACTCTGTCATTCACGAAATTTGTCATATCTTGTCATAATGAGGAATCTTGAAAAACATCCTTGTGTAGTAGTCCACACCTGTAAATAGTCTGCACCATATAAAATTTCAACTTTTAGTCTCCTATAGTCCGTGGACTGTAGTCCGGAAAATGCGTTGGGCATCAAATGAGACAGTCTTCTGTTTTGAAGGAAGTAAATTTATAGGTGTGTCAAAGAAGCGAGATCTTAAGGGGGGACATGGGCCTAAAATTTAAATTTGTTTTTAAAAATTCATTTTTTAATTTTGAGGTTTTCAGTTTTAGAAACTAATTATACACCCTTACACCAAATTCAATAACCATACGCCAAATAGTTATGTTGATATAAAATATTTTTAACAGATTGTGAGGCAGCAACAAAGTAAAGGAGTTCAATGTTTGAATGCATTTTTCTCAGTTTCACTTTTTGCTGCAAATTTCATACGAAGGAATCTTTTGTTCGAAGGTGAAAGTACCCTAATACCACAATCAAGATGTTTCTGAACTGAAATTTACTGAGGAATTGGGCTATCTACTTTATTTTGTTTGAAGTTGAAGTCTTCAGTGATAAAAAACCAAGTTTTCAAAAATTGACATAGGACAGATATGCATCTCATAGTTTGAGGTAATAACTGTTCCTGAAATACTTACAATTAAGTTATTAAAACTAGATAGCCCGAGGTCCCATATCCCCCACTTTATATTCAAGCAGTCAAAATGATGCTTAATAGCTTCATTTGCATATCATAGATTTCTTAATGAAAAGTGACACATCATCTTATGCAGGTATGTAAATTTGTCCTAGAGAGCTGAAATTTTGCACAGTACACCTACATCTGAAGTTAAATCTTCCCTGCAAATTTCATTCCGATCACTTCAGTAGTTCAAAACTTTGACCTCTAGCCAGTGTCCCCCCTTAAAGGCAAGTTTCGACAGTCACTCACGTGCTCAAAATTGGTTTATCATATTAATGACCCATCTGAACTAGTAACCCAAATTACAAGTCCCAATTGCTGTTTTTTTTTCCCCAAAGTTATTGTAGTAGTTTCGAGTTTGGTCCGATAGGCTGAGGTGCTCTACTGGCAACACTGAAAACGTGACGTCAGGTGTCATAATTGGGATGATATGGAGGCATTACAGCTTGTTACCGACAGGTTACGAGAGGTTTAATGGTGTAAAATAAATGATAATTAAACTTGTGCCAAAAAGAAATAGAAAAAAAAAAAAAAAATATTGTGTTTTCTCGACTGCCTGCTTGACCCTGAAGTTATGCAACGTGACATCACCCCAGCGGAGAGAACAGAAAAATTTGAATGTTGATTTTGATATTACCCTTATTTGCTGTTTTTTGAATAACTATTTTGAATTTCGATATAATGGATAGCACGCTTGAAAGAGTAAGGCATGGGTATTCTGAAAATATGTCAATATTTTTGTAATTTCTGAGGAGTCTGATATCAAGAATAGGAAAATTTGTTCCTAGGAACATTACTAAGGCTCGTGGTTGCAACATCGCAGATCACATTGTTTTCTTTCTACGTGCAAAAACGACAATCAGCGTCGTGCCCTTTTCAAGCCTATTCTGGTCCAAGTGCACTGTGCGGGTCGCAATGTCGTTTTGCATTCTTTCCATCGTTGTTCACTCGCAATGACAAGCTGTTATCACGGTTTTATAGCACAACATTGCAGCTGTTGGAAAATGTGTGTGCCTATATATGTGCCAGGTGTCCCCCCAACAAAATTTTGCCTTTTATGAATCGCAAAAATAAACCACATCGTCAAACGCTCAGTTTCTGGCAAAATGTAGCACTAGTGGTCTGAACCAGATTTTTTAATTTTATTGATTTGCAGTTACTGCAGGTAGCTGCTTTGCCCAAGCAGGGGAGGTCTGCATCGGGTGTGATAGCAGATACCAAAGTTTAAGAACAAACCATTATTTTATTCGAAAGTTGCGAGCGATTTTTGGAAGCTTTCGACAGTAAAATGGATGCTGACAGAGCCCACGAGTACATGGGGCTGAATGGCACAAATTATCCATTGAAAAGTTTCCAGAGATTGCTCTTAACGTTTTAATAAGACGACTGTTAGTTCTGAAATTTTGGCATCTGGTCCAGACCGCTATCGCTATGTTTGGGCCAAGGCTGCGCATTCGGCAGTGTGTACTTTATTTTTGCGATGAAGGAGACACTACCGTAATATCCCGAGTCATCGCCCACCCCCCTACCAACTGAAATTCATTAAAAAAGTGGGGTGGGCCATGTCTCGGTGGGTGAGCCCAAACACTTGAAAAAAAGCGGAAAAAACCGCCTATTTTTCTTTGCGTATCTAGCGCTGGTGCACAAGAGAAACATCAAACTCAAAACTTGATTTAGTTTCATTGTTTTATAGAAAAAAATGCTCACGAAAGAATATTTTACTATAGCGAAGTCCGTTGCTTGCATACGTGCTAGAAACACCGCCGATCTGCATATAGCGCGAACGTTTGTTCCGTGAAAGAATGTCACCACTATGTTCTCCTAGTTAGCAAAAAAAAGGAAAGAAAAGTCTACAAGAAAATAGAAAAAGCTACCAGGCGCAACGAGCGAGCGAGCGAGCAGACCAAAGAAGCGACCAAGAGCAATGCTGGGAAAGCGGGAAAGCCGGCGGTCGCGTTGGCAAATAAATACTTTGGCGTCGTGCCAAGTCGGGCGCCTTGTCAATTGCAAGCTCTTGTGCAACTTTCTTGTTTGGTGCGTACATACGTGCGTCCGTGCACGGCAGGCTGTCAATGCACGGTTGGGACGCTCTGCAAACGTCTGTGTAGGGCGTTTCAGCAAAGCTTTATTTACGCGTTGGCTTTGCCTAAAATATTGCACAACCGCAGTTGCGACGGGCGGGAAGAAGGAGCGGGTTCGCGGTGACCTTACTTCGGCGGAGACAGACTTTGATTTAACACTCCGCGGTTACATTAACAAACTCTTATTTTGTTATCTCCATCGTTTTCTTTTCGCACGGATACACGACCACTTTGGGTTCGCTCACGGAGGTAAACAAAAAGAAGTGTCTTTCCCTCCTTTGTTTTACTTTGTCACGGATGTCCTCGAACTGTAAGGTCCGCGGCCGCGTCATTCGGGTAGGATGTGTGTTCGCGGATCGCAGAGTCCGCGCTGGGGTATTTGAAGGGGTGGGCGATGACTCTGTGTTTTTTCGGAAATCGATATTGGCCCAAAAAATGGGGTGGGCGATGGCTCGGGGATGGGCGATGACTCGGGATATTACGGTAAATTTATTCTGGGGGGCACGCTGTTATGTGGATTTGGAACTTATCCAACTTGCTACAATTACTAACTTTGACCTTTCCTTGCAGAGGTGAATAAGGCATTCCAGCTGTCTTGCAGCCTGCTGCAGTCTGAGGACGAAAACTTGGCTGAACGCTTTCGCATCACGGTGGGCCCGCCCCTGAGTGAGTGCTTCACTGCAGGCTCAGATCCATGTCGGATCGTGCAGTGATGGTCCGGCTCACATTCTTCATATTTATGTAAAAAATATATGCTAAAGCCATGTTCTTGGAGGAGCTTTCAGATGTGTGCGAACACCATGGCTAATTTTCTTCGGAGAGATAAAGTTTTGAAGTATGAGGCATGGAGGTTGCCAAGGCTTCGCTAAGGTACTTTGCACAGCCTTCAATTTCGCACCGAAGCATGCACATAAAAATTATTTTAAGGCGAAAGCTTTACTTGTCCCATTGAGCAAGAAAATGGTGTCGTTGTGCCCGAAAGATAGCCATAAAAATATGTCATCAAACACGCACCTCCCTATCGCATGCTCAAGGACAAAGCCGTCCTTGGCATCGTCCTTAAGGTCGTCCTAGAGGATTTGGACATCCTCTAGATGTCGGCCTAGAGGACCTAGACGTCCTCTAGACGTCTGTTTCTAGGTGTCGTTCTCGACATCATCCGAGATGTCCTCTAGGTGTTGTTCTCGACGTCATCCTTGATGTTGTCCCAGGAGTCTTACACGTCATTCTTGACGTCATCCTAGAGGTTGTCCTAGATGTCGTCCTCTAGGGTCTGTTCTCGACGTCGTCCTCTAGGCATCTTTCTCAACGTCATCCTTAAGGTCATCCTAGAGGTTTTCCTTGAAGTCGTCCGAGCAGTTGTCCTCGGCGTCGACCTAGTTGTCCTTGATGTCATCCTAGAGGTCGTCCTAGACGTTGTCATACTTGGCGTTCTCTACGACGTCGTCCTATACGTTGTCATAGATGTCGTACTTAGCGTTCTCTACGACGTCGTCGTATACGTCGTCCTAAACTTTAATATGTATAGAAACATTACTCAACAAAATTTTCAGCGAGACTACATGGTGATACAAGGAGACGCCCGCCTCTTTAAATCGGCCGGAAAATTCGGTTTCTATCAAGCTACGACTTTGTGCAGCGTTGCCCACAGATGGTGCATTTTTTTTTGTAAAATTTGCAAAGAGCGAACTTACCTGAGGAAAAAGTAAAGAAAGAAAAAGGCTTAACTCCTATGGAATTTTAACGTATACTTACAGACAGTGGTTCTCAAATGTTGTTCTCAGTGGTTTTCAAATACATTCCAATTTTTGGGGGAGTTCCCTCGTGTGAATGTCAATAATATAAGTCTGCTCCACACTAGCAAACAGTTATATTCATTAAATTAAATCATTCTCATGATTAGCCTTTCTATTCCTCTCTTTCCGGAAGGAGGCCTCCATCATCTCCGTCTAGGTATCTACAAGGGGCCCGCAAGACATCAATGGTTGAGAACCACCGAGTTAATTGATGTATGCTTTTGTAAGGAATAAGATGCAAAATAGATTTTTTTTTTTTTATTATTAGCTTTTGTGCACTTACAGCCTCTCCTTTGGCCTTAATTCCTGCCGTTATCACTTTCGGAGTGCACCATCCTGCATGACCAACACATTCAGCCCCTATCTTCGAGTGTATTTTGTCTTTTTTGACGATTCTTTTTTGTATCGGTAGTATGTGGCAAAAAAAGTAACGAGTAATGACACAATGCCAATGTGTTCTGACAAGCGGAGGCATTCCCAAACGGCACTTGTCACTTCAAAAAGGTCTACGAGAAAGACGAAAACAATTCCTGGAGAAGGGGACAAGGGACAAACACAAATCTCCAAACACAACTAGGTGACTGGTGCGTGACCGAAAAAAAATCCTCCTGGCCCGGGTATCGAACCCGGGACCTCTTCATTTCCAGTGGAGCACTCTACCAACTGAGCTAACCAGGGATCAGACATCAGTAGAGCAAACAGGTTTTACCAGCTACCACCAGTCTGACACCAACGAGGGCGAAAGGCTCGCATTTTTTAGGTTATGATTATAATGCAATTAAATGCGAAGGTGCAGCTCGCTTGCACCTTTGCATTTAATTGCCTCGTAATCAAAAGGGTCTGTTGTGTGTTCTTGGTTAGTGGCATAACATTTTCCCCGGAGAAAATATCCTGAAATATTTTTTTTCAGGTGATGGAGACTCGTCATCGGAGCCCCTTTCCGGTTGGGAAACGATCGGCATGACGTACCAGGTCAAGTGGCCCCTTCACGTCTTCCTCACTGAGTCAGCCATGGCCAAGTAAGCACCCGATCGTGATTGCTCGCTCAGTTCAACTCGCTCATTGTCAGCCACAAATGGGGAATGAGGAATCTTTCAAGGTGAACACAAGTCCTCGGGCTCTATCTTGTGCTCTGTCTTTGCCTTTGATTGTGCTCCATGTTCTAACCTTTGATTGTGCTCTTAACACTTTCCATACTTTGCTCGTCAGAATTGATCAACTGTGATCGACGATTTACGAGCCCCGTTGCGAAGCCTCCGATGGATTTCTGGACAGGTTACAACATCTGGTGGTTAGAATGAACACTCTAGTTTGTTTTCATATACCGTAATATCCTGAGTCATCACGCACCCCCTTGCCGCCTGAAATTCATAAAAAAGGGGGGGTGGGCTTTTTCTCGGTGGGTAAGCACAAAAAGAAAGCTAAAGAAACGCTCATTTTTTTGTATGTGCAGCTGCACAAGAGATACATTAAACTCGATAGTGCTCTAATTAGTCTCATTGTTTTATGTAAGAAATTCTCACGAAAGAAGTTTTACTATTACAAAGTTCCTTGCTTGCATACACATGTTTTTTTGTCCGAACAAACGTTTTTGTAAGCAAACAAAATTTCATTTTGTTATCTTTGTCATTTTTCTTTTGCACAGATGTACAGCTTTGGGGTCACAGAAATCGGGGAGAAAATGCATAAGCAAAGAGAAGTGTCTTTCCCTCCTTCTCTTTACTTTGTCACGGACGTTCTGCAACTGTATGATCAGCGGCCTGTTATTCGGGTTGGACGAATGTTTGCAGATCGCGGAGTCTGCGCTGGGGCATTTGAAGGTGTGGGCGATCACTCTGTGTTTGTTGGAAATCGATATTCGCCCAGAAAGTGGGGTTGGCGATGACTCGGCATATTACGGTAGTCCTTTTTTTTCTTACCACGAGTTGTCACGAGCAAACGTGCGGCTGTAAAAGAGCGCTCCGCGCTGAGAACATGGCGTCTTCGTTGCGCAGCGCGCCTTCTCGAAAGCATTTGAGGTGTTGCGATTTGAGGGTGTTTGCAGTTGTTTTGTTGCTGGTACCGGCTTGAGTGAGTCGGAAGATGATGTCGGATCAGTGGCACACCGACAGGGGGGGAGGCGAATTCAAACCTTCCCCCCCCCCCCCCCCCAGATTTTTGTAGGGTGAGAGGAAAAAAAAAAGCATTTGTGCCTGACGACTTTTCGAACTTCAGTCTGCCCACTAACCTTCCTCTCATCATTGGATACTGGACATTTCTGGCAACATGCTCTACCTCATTATGGCCCGTAAGCGTACGTTCGTAGCACTTTGTTCTGCAGCACCGGAAACGGGTGTAGAAGAAAATGGTCCTGGAACACTCGGTCCCGGGTGCAAGGTAGAAAAAAATGATTGCATATAACGATCGTTATGAAAATAGAATACAGGGTGAATTAATTGTACAAATTTCTAAGCTCCATTGAGTAAAAGAAAAAAAAATTGTATTGTTTTTTTTCTATGTTAAGGCTTTTTTTTTTTTTTTTCGAAATCATCAGCTGGCATATTGAGTTATTAATGCATTTATCGCAACTGAAGAACGGGTGGAATAGAAAGTAAGCAAAAGTTACTCACATATTATCCGCTTCATTTTGTGAAAGTAAACACCACAGTGGCCCAACAATCGTTTGTGGTTTAGACGTGAAGTATAAGAAATGTAGTTTGTTTTTTATGTTTTTACTAAGTGAACTAATCGTTCCGTAATTTTACAAAAAAAAACACCACTTTATTTAGCTGTGTACCTATTTACACCATAATTACCATAGAATGCCGCACATCTGCCCATACCACGTTAAGCGCCCATTCCCAAATTTGTAAGATCCTAGAAAATATGCACAGTACATTTAAATGTAAAACTGATGACCGGACAAGCACCCATCCCCCATTTTTTCGCGGTCATCTCTAAATGTTGAGTGGGCACTTGCCCGGTATTTTACGGTAGTTAGAAAAAAATCGATTTTGCGTCAATTTAAAAAGCCTCGCCGCTTTCAGATTTCTTCTGTATATTACAAAAGCTTTGTTTTTATTCGGTTAATTTAATCTAATAGATAAATAATTCGGTCCCATAAATTCAGACCTGCTAATCTGAAACAAGTGAGGGTAGTTTTTTTTTTTTTTTTCAGATTTTATTTTTATAAATGCTGTGGGGAGCGAGGGTGGAAAAGGTGGCAATCATTGCTTTTTTTTAAATTTGATAATGAAAAACCTTGTTCACACAGAAGTTCTTACTCTATAAGGTTTTTTGTTTTTTTTTAAGTTCTACGTTTTGAATATCTTCCAAATAGAAACCACCTCTCATCTCTATTCTTATTTCCAGTCGGGAGACATCTTCATTCTTCATTCTCCCCTCCTTAAACATCAGAGGCAACAAGAAGGAAAAAACACTGCACACATTTAAAGCAGGCGGGCAGAAATGCTTGTGTTCAACAGTCGAGCACATGTATAATGAATCAAAAGTTAAAGATGTTGCCGGCTGTTGAAATCCATTGAGGGGAGAGCAAAAACTGCCGGTGACATGGCCCGTCGTAAAGCTATGTCACCGTTTCAAAGACATTGACAATGGAGGAAACGAAGCTGAGGAATTGCCTTAAAGAAAATATACGAAAGAAAGAAAACAATTTTTAAACAGCCTGAAGGAGAAAAGGATGTAATAAAGTGAATATACAACGAACAAGCAAAATTTTAGAGGTATATTTACGGCACAAAACAAATTTGTACTTGGTGCCCGCAGGAGCCACTGCTAGTCACGTGGTAGACCTGTGCGCTGCCGTGCTGCGCCACTGCCGCTGAAGTCCCCAGAAGCCGCCGCTGCACGCTGAGCGTGGCGCGCCACCAGCTGTACGCTTTTCTCCACGCCACCGCCAGCAGAGAACACCCCGGTGCGCCCCCGCTGTCAATTTTTGACCGGCGCACGGGTCTATCACATAATGCTGGCACTTTTTACATAATGCTTGCACTCTTTAGGGAGCTGCCTGTGTGCTCTAAAAGTTACTTATTAATCTTTGTTTTTAATTACACTTAAAACTGTTACGACGTACGACAGCCAAGAAATGGTAGGTGGTGAACGGGACTTATTATCTGATGCGCTTATATAGGCAGCCCAAAACTTCAGGTGGGAAGAGAACGGAACAGATAACGATAACTACACTGGCGGATGATTAGAAAGTACATATCATTGTTCGACGATGCGCAGTTTCCGATGGTACAGCAAAAACAAAGATTAATAAGTAACTTTTAGAGTGCATGGGGAGCTTTCGAAAGAGTGCAAGCACCACGTGACTATAGTGGCCACTTTTTCGCGGGCCCCCAGGGGCGCCAACTACAAATTTGTTCTGCTATCATTTCCATTGTAAACTCGTTTCATGATGTCCTTTTTCCATCCAGGCTGTTTAAAAAAATTTTTTTTACAGCGGAGCTATTAGGGCCTAGTTTCCCCAGTTTCGTGTCTGTGGGCAAATAAATCTCGACACAAGCAACTGCGGCACAGAGTACAGCTCCACTGCTCTTCCTTCTTCACCAAAGGTTGAAAGCTTTTTCTTTGCATATGTCTTTTAACTGAAATAAACGATTCCTCGCTGTGAAGTACATCCACACTGCATGCTTGTTGCAAACTGGCATGCGCAGTTCAGAAGTGGTAAGATTCGGGGATTTTTGAGACTGGTCTGCTTATAATTAGAAATAGCTTGTCAGTTGATTGTGTGACGAAGATATCGGCTTTCAATGCAATGTCCTCTGAAAGCGAGACCTTTGGACGGGGCCACCCGGAAATCTGGTAATAGTTCTCCCTTTGTCAAATGCTTGTTTCCTTCTCTGTCTCCCCCACCATTCCCCCTCTATCTTCAGCAAGGCCACCTGGGTGAAGAGAGAGGGCCTCTGCCTTCTTTCTTGTCAGTCTCTAGTTCTCCTCTTCACCTTCTCTTTAGCTCTGCATTCTCTCTCAAAGGGTCTTTCCGGCCCATGGAAGGGATCAGATTTCATGCCCACCGATGCCGTTCATTCACTAACGTTTCCTCGAGTGTGACTGCTGCTGTGTAAATCCGAGAGTTCACGATGAGCTGCGTCACCAAAGCCGCCTTCTTTAAGGGGGGCATGGGCCTAAAAAGTGAATTTTTGAACCATCTGCCTGATTTAAATGACATTTACAGGGCTTGTTTCTGTTCATGTTGGGAACATTTGTGCCAAATTTTTGTTAACCTGGGTGAAGTACAAAAAAAAATTGCAAATGTTTAAAGATGAAAGTGGGCGTGTCTGCGTGGGAAAACTATCGTTTTGAAATTACTTATAAATTTGTCGTTTTCATGTGTTATACTGCTTTAGGACAGTCCAGACCAGATAGCTATGGAGCTATATTTTTATATTCATGACAAAAATTCATGACAAAAAAGCCACATAAACTCGAATACTGTTTTTTAGATTTCCATTTTTTGTCCAAAATTTTAATTCTTGAGCATGAAAAATGACAAAAATAAAAAATACAAGCTCGTAGCTCTCTTCCCCTTAAAATTTCACTCTAGAAGAACTTATAAAAATGAATCCAAGTTACGTAATAACAGAAAGATAGTTTTCCTAAAGTGAAATTTATGCCAAAAAGTGGAACGGAGAAAAATGTACCCAAAGTTTTCCAACCCCTGCCTTTTCTTTAGCATCGGAGGACCAAAAATAATTTATAAAAAATTAACTATGCTGAGTAAAGTAATCAAACTTTCTGGGGATACTCTCTAGGTGTTGGTAGATATAAATGTGACATTTTTTAAAATCAACTTTTTTTGCAGGAATTGTTTTTTCTGGGTAGTGTCCCCCCTTAAAGGGGCCCTGCAATCATATTTAAGCGCCTACCTTTTATGCGGTTTCCACGTCTCTTGGGGTTCGGGCAATCCAGCGGGCACGGAAAGAGTAGCTAAATATCAGTGCGCCATATTTTAACCGGACGACACGGAAACCTTCTCCACCGACGAGGGCGACCCGCGGTACCGAAAGCGCGCAAA